TATATAGGAAAATGTAGCCAGCTAGAGCAGAGGTGGGAGGCCTTATCAGCTTAAAAATTAGCCTGCTATACTTGGTCAAATGTTTAATTACTTCACCCCTAATGCCTTGGCAGAGCCAGACCAAGTGATTTTGCAGACCAGACGTTCCCCACCCCTGATCTAGAGTAACTCCAGTTTCTCTTGGACTTCTGCACCCTGTCCTGAGAGATCATTTGAAACAAGCTGGCCTTGTGGCAGGAGGAGGGGAGCAAGATGGGCACTCACAGAGTCAAAATCTGAGATGATCTCATTGAGGAAGCGCAGACACTCAATGCCACCATTATTGATGCTCTCCTCGGTGTAGAAGTCAGCAAAGTTGGGCAGGGAGGCAAACATGACTCCAATCTCATCATAAGACTGGCTATACAGCTCCTAAAAAGAGGCAGGGCCAAAGTACTCAAAGACTGGTTAAATACTGTGCTACAGAAATGTCATCTTCCACACCGATAGGTGCACTCAGCTTGTTGGACACACACATCTCCCAGATTATCCCAACTCTGAATTGTTAGAAAGCTCTCATCACAACTGACTAAATTAAAACTTAAAAAAAAAACACCAGCTTCTCTAGTCCCTGTACAGCCCTGGCTGAGAGAAAGGGAGTTGGGAAGTGAGGCAGAAGCAGCATTCTATTTCAGCTCACAGCTGGCAAAAACGCAGGCTCCAGCCAAAGTTTCGTCTTCTGAAAAGGGCCTCACACCGGGTGTGTGTCCCCAGAAACAGTGTCTGTAGCAGGCCTGGGCACAGAGGTGCTCCCTAGCAGAAAACCAGAAGACACACAACCTCCTGGCTCCAGGCCATAGCACGAGGTCACCCCTCACCTCATCTCTCTTCTTGGACCCCAGGAAATGGCGTGCCACATGTTTGGGCAACATGTTGGTGACCAGGGACCCATTCCAGCATTGCATCTCGTAAACACGTTCCTTCTGGTCATGGACCTCAATCTTCCACAAGAACAGTGTCCGTGCGAGTTTTTCCACCTGCAGACACATGCCATTTGATGGGAAGATGAAAACTGGGAGGAAGATGGCTACATGGCAAGGGAAAGAAAATGACCACCCAGAGCTGCAGTGAGGAGCCCAGCCTCTGTGGTTACAGCAGAGATCAAAGGCACCTTCTGGATGTGTGGAGTCTCCCGGGATCTAACTAGCTACAGGTCTGCCTTATGGGATCTCCTAGTCCAGGGAGGAGTCCCATTTCCAGCTGGCCACAAAACTGGGAGGAAGATGGCTACATGGCAAGGGAAAGAAAATGACCACCCAGAGCTGCAGTGAGGAGCCCAGCCTCTGTGGTTACAGCAGAGATCAAAGGCACCTTCTGGATGTGTGGAGTCTCCCGGGATCTAACTAGCTACAGGTCTGCCTTATGGGATCTCCTAGTCCAGGGAGGAGTCCCATTTCCAGCTGGCCACGAAGTGGCTTGGGAAGGCTGTACTTCCCCTGGCCAACCACTGGGTGGTACTTGAGCTAACATGGAGCAGTAAGTCCCTTACATGGATACTTCCCTGCCCACTCATTTTCCCTTTTA